ATCTGAGTATCTGAAGGGATTAAAAGTGGCAGAATCGGGGCAGGAACCTTGCCGCGGGAGTAGCTGCCGTGAAAGATCGCCTGCCTGTGGTGGCAGCATTCAACCCTAATCCAAGCACTCCGAGAGGTAGAGGCAGGAAGATCGCAAGTTTGAACCCAGTTCGGGCAACTCAGTAATTTAGGGAGACCCTATCTGGAAATTAAAAAACAATAAACAAGCAAAACAGGCTGGGGATGTGGACCAGTTTGAAGAAACTGGGTTTAATCCCTCATACTTGGGGGGGCGGGGAGGGGTATTACTGTTTGCTAGGGAGCCCAATCCGGGTCTTTCCATTGGGAGCTATATTTTTCATATAATCTCAGGATTAAATGAAGTAAGTGACTGGAGAAAAGATAACAAGCAAACATATCAAAACATGAGTGTTTGCCAGTGAAGTTGAGATTGTGGTGGACTGTGTGTTGTTTTTTAATAATTCTCTGTAGTTTTCAAATATTCTGCATTGAGCAAAACTCTGTTTGGGTATCACAGAAGAAAAGAAACCAAAATAATTCTATTAAAAATTGTGATTTGTTTGACCACAATAGAATCACATAATGGAGTACACACCGGGAAGAAGAAAGATTTAAAATCTAAATGGTCAATTTGGAAGGGTTTTGCTACCTGGTTAAAAGCAAGAACTGCAACAGCCAAACTTCATTTAATGAGTCTGGCAGTTCAGATAAAAACCGTCAAGCAAACATTAAACTGCAGGAAGGCGGTCTCCCAGGCTGAGAATGTACAAGCCCCAAAGAATAAACCCTACCAGCGAGGCGCTAGGAAGCTTTCTTCCACTAGAGGGCAATCACTGCTCAGGGTTTCAGCGAAAGAGGCGCAAAGCACGCCAACCCGAGCAGCGCTGCGGGGAACTTTCTCCCCAGAGCTGAACACGCGTGGCGGCCGACCGCACCAACGTCGACACGAACATGCGCACGCTGGAGGGACAACTTGCAGCAGAATAAGAAGAGCCAGCGTACAGAGTCGTTTAAAAAATATGCTCAGTGGACGTTATTCAAATACAGGTATCCATTTTCCATGGGAGTTGCCATCTGATACCTTTAAATCTGCTGCGTCCAACTGGACTGGTATTTTATTCTGTAAATTGCTTCTCGAAACCAACAGACATTCCTTCAAGCCCAGGACTCCACGCCAGCCCCCATATTCCAAAATGCACTTCAAAGCAAGTGGCTGCGGGGAGCAAATGGGTCTCAGCGGTGCTGCGGGGCAGGGGTGTGTGCGTGGGGGGGGGTATTTCCATCTTCAAACAAGAAGAGATTTGCATTTGCTTGCACACAGAGATAAGAAGGCTTTGGCATTTTCTTACACTTACTGTCTTTCCTGGACTCAGGTTTTGGTATTGCAAATATTTCTGAACTTTGCTATTTTCCATCTTCTTGAGCCTCTCAGAGTCCCCGGGGGGTGGGGTGGGGCTAGGAGATCTGTCGGTGAAAAAGTCCTGGAGGGACAGGTTCCTGATCTCTTCCGGGAGGCGTCTACACTCACTGCTTCCGGGCCCTGGCCTGGGCCTCCCAGGGCAAGGGCCGCCGTAGGATCCTCCACCACTCTTCAACTTCGGCATTTGTTAACCCTTCTCTACCGAAGTCTTCCCCAAAGGGCTAGTTGGTCCTTGTCCTCGGCCAGCAGAAGTAGGTCAAGATCCAGTTACAGAGAGACACACACGGCCTTCCTCCCCTGCTTTCTCTGGGACAGGGCCCTCCTGGGTTGGGCTGAACAGCCACCAGCTCGACCCCTTCATTAGCATAAATTTGAACCCAGCGGTCCTCCAAGTCCGGCCCCCACAGGCTCCACTCTAGGGCGAGAGGATTATAAAGGGGCTCTAGAGACAGAGGCGGCCAGAGGAAGGGGACTGGAAGGAATGAAGGCGCGCTGTGTACATGTACGCCCCCCGGGGATGCACTATGTGCTGCAAACGTGAACTTCTAAAAATAAAAGTCACCTAGACAATCCAGGCAAACACATTTTAGAGAAACACTCATTCCCTCGCCGTCCTGCGCCTCTTTTCGAGAGTGTAGACCTCGACTTTTCACAGCTGAACTCGCGTACCCAGGCATCTGACTTGAACCGATCTGCTAGAACGGTTATCCTCTCCAGGCTGCTGGATGGAAGCACAGGTAGCTGAGGTTGCCTGTGATTCCGTCCTCGAGTCACCCTGAGTTTAACATCTGTGCTTTAACTTGAATCAGGAGTACTTGAGTCCAGAGCTGGGCTAGGGCGGTAGGCCCAGTGGACCGTGCCGGCTGCCCACAAGGAGCAGTTGAGACAGGCACCTTGGGACTGAGTGCCAGGGCTGGGTGCTGCATTCCCCACACCTACCCTTTGAGCCTTTTCTGCAACCTCGGGATTTGCCAAACAGCTGTCATTTAGTTTTCAATTAAAATGCAAATCATCCGCTTCCAAACAATTTCCCCTCTCCCCCATACAGGCATGCACATGTACAGATCTGTGCACCTACATGCGTGTTTATACAGAGCAAGGCTGCACGGGGACATCGCTACTGCAGCGTCCATCCATGTTCCATTCTTGGGGTGGCTGGAAGAGTCTGTCCTCAGTCTTGGGCAGGAGGATGTGGAGGTCCCGGGGACCCAAGGGAGACCAGGCCCTGACTTGGAAGCAGTGCCTCAGATGCCAGGACCGGGCCTCCGGGGCCTTCCAGGCCAGCTTGTGTGGGCTTGGTCCCGATGGTCTCACAGGCCTGGTGACTGCTTGCTCCCCAGGGCAGGACAGCCTCCTCCGGGTCACCCGCACCCTCTTCCTCAGCTCCCAGCTGGGACAGACCCCACAGTCGTCCCGGGACAAAAGTGCACAGACTCTAGAATTTGTACTGTTACAGTTAACACCATTTTAACTTTGCCATGTAAATGATGGAGAAAAGCAACGGAAAGAAACTTTCAGGGCAGCTTTGCAGCCCTGTGCTGATGGTAGAATTCCTCTGGAGTTGGATGGAGCTGACCCACCCTCATTTTTCTGAGTCCTTTTAACATATCTGTTGGCAAGTTGTCCACGGGAAAAGCCTCTTTCCTGGTTACAATAGAAGGGGAAAGGTCACTTTCTGAGAGTGAAGTTTAGGGGCTCACCAATCTCTGTCTTGGGTCCCAAAAACGCGAGGACAGCGCCGCTGGAGGCCCCGAGAGCCTAGAAAGGGCCCCAGCTCTGGGGACACTGCTGCACTCCTGTGGCCCGGGAAGCAGGCAGCGCGCTGGGATCTCTGCGAGAGACAGCCGGTGCCCAGCTGGGCGCTCGCCGAGGCCGAGTCCTGGTCAGAATCCTCAGCAAAACTCACACAGATGCAAGGCGTCCTCCTGCCTAGGTCAGATCTTAAAGTCTACGAATTGATGCGTTTACCCCAGCCTGGAAGCTAATAAAGAAGGGAGGGAAGGTCACTTCTATCTCAGAAGTGAATAGAAACATCAAAAGACAAACGATCCCTGCTGCACCTCAACCCTGGAAATCAACCAGACCAGACGCCGGCTGACGGCGAAGACTGAGCTTTGGAAACGCGGGAGTGGAGGGGAGCGAGCCCGCCCGATTTCCCGCCGGCCGCGACAGCCCCTGCAACCGGCGGCCAAACCCTGTGCATCCCGGGGCTGCTCAAGTCGCGCGCCGGGACCACTGATGCGGTTTTTTCTGTTTCCCGCTCGGTAAGTTTTGGCTTACTGATCCCATCCAAATTGCTGCGGTGCATTACTTGAATGGTCGAGTTCTCAAATCTGTCTGAGGGTTTTTCTCTCAGGTACAGTTCAACCCTGCCGGGAACTTAAAGGCCCGCCAGAGGTGAGGAGCCGGACCATGACAACAACCCTGGACCCTGGCGCCACAGCCAGGGGCCAGCGCGATTCTGTCTACACCGCCAGCAGGAGGGCTCAGTCCCAGGAGGTGCGCCCGAGGGCACTTCTGCACCTGAAGCCTACACTTGAGTCCCGGGGATCCTGCACCCACGCAAACCCAAAGCAAGGGAAGGGGAGGAACGCTGTATGTGGGGAGACTGACAGGTGTTCCGATTAAGCGAATCCCTTCCCAGAGAACGGAGCGAACCCAGAAATGACCGCGGTCGCGGGCACCGGGGAGTGGAGAGCACAGAGCAGGCAGGAGGCGGAGTATGGGAGAGGACCATGGTTCGGCCTATAAGGGAATTAAAGACCTCTATAGGCTTAAGGAGCAACAAATTAATTTACACAGCTCTGGATGGCCTCTGATTAATCCCTGCGCCGGAGGGAGCGGCAGGGCCGCACCAGCCCCGCGGGCTTCGCTTTCCAGGGTGCAGATCCACTGGAGGTGCAGGGGGCAGACTCATGAGCTGCTTTTCCATAAAAGGTCTGGGTTTTATTATGCTTCTCTGTAAAGAGTAATACCCTCTCCGTCCCTGCTCCCCGCCCTTTTCCCACTTTATTTAGCACAATTAATAGAGGCGGCCGCTGGCCCCGAGGCGGAACCGAACATTCGTCGGGCCCCGCCCCTCTTGGCTCCGCCCATGGGGCTCTGGGGGCTGGAGGGGGCGGGGACTAGGCAGGAGCGGCCAGACGCCCCGTAGCCTCAGCCAGTCCGAGGGCCCAAAGCTCCTGAGTGGGCGGAGCCCTGAGGCGACGCGAGGCCCGAGGCTGAGCCGGATTGGAGGCGCTGGGGACCCCCAACCCCGACCGGCACCCGGTCCCTGCCCCGCCCCCGCAGCCGAGAGTGACGTCCCCAAAGTTGTGCGTTTGGGCCCCGCGTGCCCTCCCCGCTGTCCGCACTAAAGAGCGGCCCGGAGGACGCGAGTGTTTTATTACCTTTGAGCACTTCGTCCGAGCTGTCAGCCCAGGCAGCGCGGCCTAGCGGCGCCGTGGAGGTCCGGCTGCGGGCGGAGGACTGGGTCCTCGGGGCCTGGGAGCGCGGGGGTCCGGGCGGGCGGTCCCGGCGGGCAGGGCCCGGCCTTGGTGCGCGCTCGGACTCCGCTCCGCCCGCCCGGCCCGGGGACTCCCGGTGCTCCGCTCGCCTGGTGCGGGTCCTGGCACCCGCGTGCCGGGGCACGGCCGGCGCGGACGCCCAACTTTGTTGCTCTCTTTGCCAACTCCGGGGCGGCCGGGGCGCCGAGGATGCGGCGTAGTGAGCCCTGAGCGCAGCGCACGCGGGACCCGCGCGGCGACCGGGGATGCTGGCGGCGGGTGCGATGGACGGGCCCCGGCAGAGCGCCTTCCTGCTCGGCAGCCCGCCGCTCGCCGCGCTGCACAGCATGGCCGAGATGAAGGCGCCGCTCTACCCCGCCGCCTACGCGCCGCTGCCCGCCGGGCCGCCCTCGTCCTCGTCCTCCTCGTCGTCGTCCTCGTCGCCGTCCCCGCCACTGGGCGCGCACAACCCCGGCGGCCTGAAGCCCCCGGCGGCCAGCGGGCTCTCGTCGCTGGGCAGCGCCCCGCAGCAGCTCTCGGCCGCCACGCCGCACGGCATCAACGACATCCTGAGCCGGCCCTCCATGCCGGTGGCCGCGGGGACCGCGCTGCCTTCCGCCTCCCCCTCCGGCTCCTCGTCCTCCTCGTCCTCGTCCGCCTCGGCCTCGTCCGCCTCTGCGGCCGCCGCCGCTGCTGCCGCGGCTGCCGCAGCCGCGTCGTCCCCGGCGGGGCTGCTGGCCGGCCTGCCCCGCTTCGGCAGCCTCAGCCCGCCGCCGCCGCCGCCCGGGCTCTACTTCAGCCCCAGCGCCGCGGCCGTGGCCGCCGTGGGCCGCTACCCCAAGCCTCTGGCCGAGCTGCCCGGCCGGACGCCCATCTTCTGGCCCGGCGTGATGCAGAGCCCGCCCTGGAGGGACGCGCGCCTGGCCTGCACCCCGCGTGAGTACCGCCCTGAGCCTCGAGCGCCCTGGGTCTCCGTGCGCGCCCTCGGCCAGTCCCCGATGCTGGCAGCGCCTATCCCAGTCTCATGGTTCAGGCCGGGCCGGTGTTTCGGGGAGGGGTCCTCATTTGCCGAGCGCGCGGGGCTGAGCCCCGCGCTCCGAGGGTCTTGGCACATACGGCCCAAGTAGTTGCGCTCGTCCGCGTGGGTGACCACGCGGCGCGGGACGCGTATCTCGGCCGAGGCCCTGCTGTTTTGGGATTACTCAGCCGTCTCTGACTGGGTTAGAGAGATGGGAAGGAGGAGAGATTACCGCATCCCTCCGTGTAGCCCTGATGTTCGGGGCCCGCTTCGCCCTCGCTAGGTCGACTCGCAGCCCCTCTGCAAACCGGCGACAAGGAGCCTGGGCAAGGTGCGGGTATTTACGTGCGTGTCTCTTCCCTGGACGCCCCCACCTCACCTTTTCGCTTTCCTGTTCTCCACCTCAGTACACTCAGTCACTGGGGGCCTTTTGAAGCCGGCCGGTAGCTCCCAGAACGGGAGGCCCGGCCGCGCTTCCTACCGCCTGGACGCTAGCCAGAGCCCAGGACCCCGCTTTCGCACAACGCAGGGCCGTCGTGGCGCCCCACACCCCCACACTAGGAAGAGCCTGGGGAAGAGCAGGTGAAGGCACACAGGCCAGGAAAAATGTGCCCTCCCGCCACGACCTTGCCCGGGCATCTGGGACTCCCCAAGATCTCGCAGAACTTCGGGAAGTGTCCATGGAGCCGCACGGTCCCCAGCCTTCCAGGTGGCGCCCGGACTCAGCCTGCTGCCGTTTTCTCCCACTCTTATCCGAAGTTTGCCCAAGTCTCGGGGCCTGGGGGCGGGGGGGGGGCGGTGAGCGGCGGTGACTGCAGAAGTCCAGGGAGGCGAGCGGAGGCTCCCTCGGGGACCCGGGCGGGGGCCGGCGGGTGTCCGGGAGACGCTATTGTATCTGCGCTGGTGGCCGCCCAGGGGCCGCCAACAAAGGCGACGCCCCCTCCTCCTCCCCTGGGTCTCCGAGGCGATAGACTTGAAGCGATTTACCTCTCTGTGTGCAAAAACAAGGAGCCGTTTGTCGCCCAGACACAGGTTAGGAAAGGGTTCAAGGAGGTTAACAAAAAAGTAAAAGTAGTTATCGTGGCGGAGAGGCTGGAGGGCCTGCGCAGCGCCGGGACCGGGAGGCGATGGTGGCCCCCCTCCCCCCATTTAAGGTGCTGGCGGGTCCGCCCGCGGCAGAGGCTCCCCAGCTGCGGGTCACGGGTGTGGGCCAGGGGGTGCTCGCTGCTGCGCTAAAAGCAGCGGCCTTTAGGAAACAGGTGGGCGTGAAGCAGCAGAGGGAGACGCGCCAGGCACTCTGGCGAACACCGCCGCTTCTTTTTTTTCTTTTTTCCCACCAAGACACAGTTGAATTCTCTTTTTTTCCCTCCACAGTGAGGCCGCTTGTAGCCTCACTGTTGTTTCCCCTCTCACTTCCTTGTTATCGGTTCTCACAGATCAAGGATCTATCTTGTTGGACAAAGACGGGAAGAGAAAACACACTAGACCCACGTTCTCTGGTCAGCAGATCTTCGCCCTGGAGAAGACGTTTGAACAGACGAAGTACTTGGCGGGGCCCGAGAGAGCGCGCTTGGCCTATTCGCTGGGCATGACTGAGAGTCAGGTCAAGGTGAGCGCCTCGGGCCTCGGGAGCGCGCGCTCAGACACACGCAGCGCGCCAGGGAGAGCCTGACCAGGCTGGGGGGAGTTGAGAGCCGCTACCGAGGCGCAGGGGTCTTGCGGGAAGGCAAACTGTTCTTGAACAAAAGAAATCAAGGTCCAGCCTTTGAAATTAGGTTAATCTAGATCGCTAGGGAAACTCGGTCATCATTACAGAATAAAAGCATTACTGAAATGGCTCAGAGAATAGATCAAGCTACTTAGATAGCTTTTCTTTCTATTTATAAGACCTTCAGACTTTTGTTTGCTAATTCACGCTCCACTAGTTTATAATTTCCTAACATAGATCAGCTTTATAGTGCTTCTGTATGAACTTGCAGATTAAAAAGTAGACCCACAGGATCCAACACTTAGCATAAGTGAACCTGCTTTTAATTTAGAGAAGGCAATCACTTTGGAAGAGCAGTTTTCCAAAGGAGTTGACAAAATTATTACCGCACCATAAATTAAATTCTATTTTTAAAAGTTTACAAGCAGATTTAAGATATTTTAGTTTATGACACTTTGTAATTAAAGTGTCACTTTATAATTGAGTTGTACAGTGTATTTCTGGAGAATCAAATTTTAGAAATCTTTCTCTAAAAAATAAAGGAACTGAGCTAGTTGGGTAAAACAACCTGATGGTTTCCTGTATTTTCAGTATTCTATTTTGTCCCCCTTTTCTTTTTCAGTTTGTTACTTTGAGGTTTATGTCTCTTTTCATTAGTTATACTGTTGCTCTTTAAATTAAGTAGGAATAACATTAACCATGTCTCCTGGTTAGAGTGTATTTCCCCCTGGACAAGCATCATAAAAAACATTTCAGGAGTGATTTTGCATGTAACCATTAGAATATCATCACATTTAAAATTATTTTGCAGTAGGCTGGTACAAAGCCTATCATGGTAATCTGGAGGTCTTCATTTGTCACCATAAATATGTCTTCATGGCTAGACCTGAATTATTATAGCCATATAAAAAAATCAAAATCTCTTTCTTAACGATTCTGATTCTCTAGATAAAATACATAGCAGAGTAGAAGCCTAAAAGGAGAATAATTCAATGTCTTTGGAAAACTGGTTGCTCATTGCTGATGCTTTAAAATATGTGTATCAGACACGTGCCAAACATGAATGGGTTTAAAATTTTTTTATATTAAATGAACATCTTGGGCAGAAGCAATAAATAGTAAAATAACACTTGAAAGAATTGGCACAAAATAGAAAGCAATGTAATTGGCAATTTTTTTACTTTTTAAAAATAACTGATAATTCTGGCTTTCGCTTTACGTAGATTTTATGAAAAACTTTAAGGGCTGATGAGGAAAGAGAGAACGATCCAGTCAAAGGACTGTGATGATTTGGACGGAACTATTACATATTTTTCATGCATTTGTATTGGGTAGTGTGAGTGATTTGAAGTTTGTTTTTTAGCAAAAAAAACTTTACATCATACGTTGTAAGTGTAATGGGGATGAGTGAATTTACCTCCGTCATTGTGTACATTCTGGCTTCAAATCAGTGAAACAATCCATGTGCAAAAGTGGAAAGGAGAACAGAGTCAATTGGGCAAATGTGCCTTTTCCCACTAGTGACACTGAAAAACTAGTACACTTTAGGTTGTTTGAAATTCCTTCATCTGTGAAAGCAAACAAGGAATGAAATCACAGCCACTATGGGGAAGTTTTGCGAATGGAAAAGCTTTTTACACCAGAAAGCAGGAAAGGGAACACTTTTTTTTTTTTAAAGAAACTCATTTTTAAGCTTCTTGTGAGTTTTGCTTTTCTTCTGTTCTGGGAAGTCACTCTGACAACCTCGTAGTCTTGTGTCATTATCGCCATAGCAACGGCGGCGGACCTTCGGTGCCGGTTCCTCGAGGGGACCCGGTGCAGGGGACTCCGAGGTCCGGCCCGGGAGGCGATGAAGGAGGGCGGCGGCCACCGGAGAGGCAGGGCCCGGCCAGGCTGCCGCTCACCGCGTCCCCCTGTCGCGGCAGGTCTGGTTCCAGAACCGCAGGACCAAGTGGAGGAAGAAGCACGCGGCCGAGATGGCCACTGCCAAGAAGAAGCAGGACTCGGAGACCGAGCGGCTCAAGGGCGCCTCGGAGAACGAGGAGGAGGACGACGACTACAACAAGCCCCTGGACCCCAACTCGGACGACGAGAAGATCACGCAGCTGCTGAAGAAGCACAAGCCGGGCGGCGGGCTCCTGCTGCACGCGTCCGAGGCCGAGGGCGCGTCCTGAGCGCGGCCCGGGCTGCGGAGATGTACATATCTATTTTTCTAACCCAGAAGTGTGGCGGGAGGAGGGACCGGAGCGAGACTCGGGGTGGACGAGGAGGCGGAGGCCACACGGTGCACTGCTGCAAGGACGCAGCCGGGGTCCCCACACGCGTCCGCGGGCGCCTGGCTCTCCGTCCCCTGCAGTCCCCGGGGCCGGGGAAGGGCGGACCCCACGGCGGGGGGACCTCCAGCCACACACATGCAATCCTCCCGGCCGCACAGGCCGGCTGCCCCAGCTCGCTGCTGTGCGACTAGAGCGACCTGTTGAAGGCTCTGTAAATAAAACGTGAGTCACACTGACTAGAAGTTACTTTATTGTGAATATTTACAATGTAAAAATGCTTTTTTTGAATTTGGTATAAAAAGATGGATCTCCTCCTTCCTTCCAAGCCCGCCTTTTGAAGTCCTATCCCTGCGACCACTTCCCCTTTTATTTGAAACTTAATTTGGGAATTGCAGGAATGTGCTCGTCGTCCCCGACGCCCTCCGGTCGCTCCTCTCCCTTTGGAGTTGCTGAGCCTCAGTTTCCCTTTTTGCCTCCAGGTTCCGCCCCACTCCCCCGGCCCCGGGCCCCGCCCTGAGGACTTGAAGCAGAAGATGTGGGAACCGGGGGATCTCACATCTGCCCCTCTGGTCCCCTCTGAAATTGCACAGTCGTTTGTTGCTATTTATTAGTGATTTAAAGAAAGGCTTGGGGAGGGAGGGGCCACAATAGCTTGTGTTTAACTCCTTTCTGATAAAAATGCGTGTTAAAGTAGATGGTGGGGATTGTTACAGCCGCTCCGGGTCAGAACATAAAAATCCATTTAGTTGCTGTAATTGAATTTGAAGTGTTTTGTATCATAAGAATACTATAGAATATGTAAATTGTTTTCTTTTTTAAGCTAATAACGGTGATACATTAGCATCTTTAACCTTTATTAATTTATATAAGGAATTCGGTTTGTAAAGAGAAGAAAGCCCCTTTGCAAGACCAGTTAAATGTAATGCACTTTCTGTTTCAAAGGATAAATCAAATTAAACAGTTTGAAGACGTCTGTTGCCTTGAGTGGAAGGGTACAGATCATCTGATCTCATCAGAGATCTCAAACAATAAAAGAAAACCACACAAAAAGCTATACTGGTTTCTTGGGTGAAGTAACTGTTACTTTTTTTCTTTCCTTTTTGAAAGAGTGGGGTCAGATCTCTCATTCTCCTGGATGAGGAAGGAAAAAGAAATGCGGCCATAGTCCTACCGCTCCTCTGAGAGGCTTGTCCAAAGGCTGCTGCTGCTAATGTCCGTGTTCGGTGTGGTCTAATTCTTTCCTGATCGCTTTTTCCTTGCAAGGAAGTCCCTGGGGAATTTGGGAAGCTCATTTCCATATATCCCAGCCAGCTCCACGGCCAGGCACTAGTTGGAGCAGCCAGGAGCGGCTCTGCCGAACTCGGGTGCTAGAATTCTCACCCCACCCCGCAGCCCAGAAGGCTGAAGAAATTTGTGGAAAGATAGGAACCTTGCTAAACATTTCAAAGAAGAAGAGCGCATTTAGAGAAAGCTGCTTTTAGCAGACCTGAAAGCCTTTATTGTTAAGGAGGCAATACTGTAGCTTTTCCAGCTGAAACGGCAAAAAAATATTTGGGAATCCCAGAGAGAGGGCTGTTAAAATATTTGGGAATCCCAGAGGACACTGTAGTCCTGGGATCTTTTTGTTTTCAGATGCTCAGTCACAGGCTCAGTGAAATATCGTTATCCCCTCAGTGTGGCAGGTTAATGAGCTTGTGTTCTAAGAGAGAAAAATCAATAGGACTCAGTAGATTCTCCAGGCTAGTGTTAGGCATGGGAACTGTTGTGAGTCTGTTTTGCTCCCTAGAAATTTTTTTTTTTAAAAAGATGAAAACTGAATTTTTCACAAATTCAACAAAATGAAATCGGCTGAAGGAAACTCTTGTAGAATACATTCCCAATTACATGGTTTGGTAGAAAGAAAGAATGCAAATCTGCCTTCTTTCTGCTCTCTGTTTTTCAAAGTCCTCAACAAGTTTCAAACTTTTCTATAGGTCTACCTGAGCAACACTAAGGTAGATAGGTGTGGCCCAAGGAAGGCGACTAATCCAAAGGAGACCTTGTGTACAGCAGTGACGTGGTTTCAATTCTGCCATAAAAAATTCTCTCTCTCTCCCTCCCTCCTTTCTTCTCTTTTTCTCTTTCCTCTTGCCCTCTTTCACCCCCTCCATTCTTTCCTTCCTTCCTTCCTTCTTTCCTTTCTTTTTTTGCTGTTATGAGAGAACCAAGAAGGAAACAAGCCGATTGTCCTGCAATTCCATTTTACTGCAACAAATCAAAATCCTTTTTGTATTTTATATTTTTAAGCCTTTATCCACTCCTCTTCTGCCCTGAAAAGCCAAGCAACTTTATTCATTCTTCCTAAGAAAACAAAACCCCACAAGATTAGAAATTTGTTCCTGTAGTAGTAATTAGCAGCAGCAGCGAGATGGTATTAGTCCTAGAAAACTTGGAACTAACTTGGAGCTTTTTCAAGAAGTAACTGGGTTGACAGTTGGTAGTGCTTATTCTGAGTTGGAAGAGTGGAAAGTTACCTCCTGCAAATCCTTTAGGAAGCATTCGCAGTGACCTCACTGCCCTTAAGTTTGAGCACCAGAGTGGGCTGAAAGCAGAGACCTGAACTCTGCCGTGGGTGAACGCGCCGGGGTGGCAGGGGCTGCAGCTTGCCAGCCTGGGCGCTCTGCCCTCAGAGGTGGGCTGAGGCCCGGCTGCCCTGGCTCGGCTCCTCCTTTTCCAGTTGACTGCAGCAGCGACTGGAGGTTTCCAGCTCATTTCCCTCCATCCAGAGCGCCAGCTGGTCACCAGTTGCAACTGGCCCTGTAAAGCTGGGAGTGGGGGACAAGTGGGTAAGTGGGTGGATGACATCTCTCCCAATTCCCCTTATCTTGGTTGATTTGGTTGCCCTGTATTTCTGCATAGCAGGGACAGCTTTCCGTAAGAGTTAGGATGGTGGGAAAGCCAGGACATACTCTGCAGCACTAGGGATGGAGGGTAAGAATCATTTCTCATTTTGGCCCAAACATTTTATGACACTAACAACTATCAGCATCTGATTAAGGCTGCCAAGCACCCATCACAGTCAAAGCGGTCACGATTTAAAAACAGCAAAGTCACAACGTAGGACTTGACAGACCACTGCTTTTTAAAAAGCTCACAGGAAATAAAGTGTCAATATCAAAAGACAAAAGGGGGAAAACAAGGTTTTGTATGTGTGTGGTAAAAGGGAGGGATAGCTTTTATACTTTTGTTCTGTGTGTGTTTCTTTCCCTAAAAAGGAAAAGTCATCTAGGCTTCCTGAGGGATTCGGAGAGGAGGGGAGGCCCTGGATGCTGCACCCACGGGCGGGCTGCTCTCCCTCTCCATTCCGTTCCCCCAAGTCCAAGCTCGGTTCTGCTATTTGGTGACTAATTTTCTCCTTGGCTCACACCTGGGATTCTGTAGCTCAGTGCTCCATGCCCTCGCTGACGCCCGGTCCCCGAGCATCTTTCCAAGCTGATGACCACTGTACTCCACTTTTCGTCTTTCCCACTTGAGGGCAGTGGAAGGAGGGGCCATGGGAATCACACACTCTGGGACTCCCTCCTGCTCTCTGTGCACACAGACCTTCCTGGAGGTGGCTCTTCTCTGAAACACTGGACCAGAAAACACTGAAGGTGCCTTTGCAAGCTTTTGGAGTCTAACATCATGCAGATGAATGTGGTGTTAAGCCAGCCTCAATTTGGGGACCTCCACAGTGTATGTTTGGAGCAACACAAACACGCACGCCCCCCCCCCCCCACAGAGGCACACACTCTAGAGGTGAAATTCCACTTGGGGACTCCTAGCACTGAATAGCTTAAAGGGACAGTGGCTCCTTTGTTAATCACAGACAATAGGATTGTGTAATAACAGTGGAGGTAAGCAACAGATTCGTCTATAAACTCTATTTTAGGCTAATTTGAGCAGCTTAGTCAGCCCTAAATTTCCTCCCTCTTCCTGTGCACACAGATATGTGCAAATATGGTTCTTCCCCCTCCTCAATATAACTTTAAAAAATAAGCCAATTTTTCAGCACACTCCCTTTTTGGACAGCAAAGTGTGTGTTCTGCTCTGCAGCATTTAGATTGCAGCTTCAGGGAGCCATTTGTTCGTCCTGCATCACGGAGCCCTCCTCGTGGTGTGCAGAAGGCACAGTAACAGGCGCCCTTCCTTTGTTAACGGAAAGTCCCGGGAGAGGGGTAATGGGGTGGAGAATTTTCCTGAAATTCTCCCTTCGGTGTTGCCTGGGTTGGTTTGGAGTTTCCCAGAGACAGGACAGTTTATCTGAAAGCTGAGTTCACTCTCTGGTCTTCCTCTTCCAACAGCAGGTACTATAGCTGGGATGTTTATGTGTTCATCATTTGTTCTGAGGCCCCGGAGCAGGCATTTCTACTGGAGACCACACTTGAAGACTTACTAAAGTAGAGGAGGGCATCTCTTCGGTGGTTAATGTCTACTGGTGCCTGGCCAGGGGGCTGAAGCAGAGCCCTCATTGAGAGCTTCTATTTCCGTACACTTTGAATAATCAGGGCTGGTTTGGATGATGATACAATCAAAGATGATCCCTTCTTCATTGTAGGGAAAGAGTCTTTATTATGCAATTTAAATAGGTGCACATTATTTTTATGAAGGAGCTCTATTACCTCTATAATGTTACTGCTTCTGTCTACCTTGGGGTAGGCAAAAGAAATATTGAGGCATAATTACTCTAGTTATTTGGCAGATACATCAAATTTAGGAAGGATACCACCGGTGCACATTTCCTTTCTTCTCCATAATATACAGTTTTATTTCGGGACATACATAAATTATGAAAAAATTAAAAATGATCAAATGGGTCAAATGCACCTGTATCAACCACAGAAAGTCAAGGTTGCCGGAAATCCACTAACTTGCATGTTACCATGTGGTCTATCATTTTCAAACAAAGCCATTGGATGAGTTTTCATGCTTCTGATCTGAGCCTATACCTGGGTCCATAGTTTGTGGTCCCGTCTCTAGCCATCATTTGTAGCTTTGTCCTTTGCATTTGAAGCTATGGCTCAGCTCTTACAAAGAATATTGTAAACTTTTGTTTTCCTTTCATAATTTTTCTTCCCTCCCTGTGCTATTCACTTGATCTGTAAGGACTTGTCAACAATTTTTCCAAAAATCTGATGGTCTCAAATGAGTGAGAGGGTCTGAGAAGCCCTTTATTTTCACTGAAATCAGATCAGGTAGCCATTGAGAGCAGCAGTTGGGCCTGAATCTTCGGCCTTTATAGGCTCTCTTGAGGTTAAGGTTAAGGGGCTTGACTGCTCTGTCCTTCAGTATTCTCATCTGTGAAATGGGCCGGTAACCAAACCTACTCCCTAGCACTGTTGGGAGAATGAAGCAAGGTCATCTATGCCCAGCACCCAGCAAGCCAGGAAAGTCTTCATCACCAGCCGCGCCAGGAGGAGTGGGAGAAAAGCCCTGTTTAGGTTGCTTTGGCTCTGGTCCTACTGTCTGCTCCAGGATAAGGACTCAACCAAGGAGAAGGCGAAAGTAAAAGTGGGAAGCAAAGCAGCGAGAGCTTTTATATAGGCTTTCATGAAACTTACAGCCTAACTAGCTGACCTGGTTTTAAAGTATTTCCAAAAATTCTAGGATATTGGTGCACACCTATAATTTCAACTACTCAGGAAGCTGAGGCAGGAAGGTTGTAAATTTGAACCCAGCTTGGGCAACTTAGCAGGGCCTGTCTGAAAAGGGAAAAATAATTTAAAAAGGAGGGAAAGGTAGGGAGGGAGTGGGAAAGAGGGAGAAAGGGAGGGAGGGAGAAAAGAAAGGGAGAGAGAGGGAGAGAGGGAAAGACAGACAGGCCTAATTCCCCTGCTGGGGTGTGGGCTGTATTTAGTGACTGGCTTCTGATGAAGAGTGTGGCTGCTGTCTTTGTCCTCCCTGTTGGGTCACTGGCTCTGAAGAAAGTCGCTGCCTGTTTTCCTCCTTCTGAGTCCAGGAATCCAAGCAGCCTCTGCCCAGCATGCCCTCACAGGACTGCAGCTCAGAGTCAGTCACCCA